TTTTTTTTTTTTTTTTTGAACTGTGTACTTCATACTGGGATTTCAAAGAAACATGAAAATGATGAACTAAGAAAAATACGATTCATACATATGTTTCTTTAAGAATTTGTTGGATGTTATCGAGATAGGAATAACACAAAGTTTAGCGGGTCACGATATTTTAGAGATCAGATTCCTTCGGTTTTGGTTATATTGACACTTGTCTGGTTTGATGCAGGTTTTATTATGATGTGCCCACAACTGTTCATTAACTATAAGTTAAAGTCCGTTGCACATATGCCTTGGAGGCAGATGACGTACAAATTCCTGAACACGGTCATTGATGATCTCTTTGCATTTGTCATTAAGATGCCGGTCCTTCATCGACTTTCTGTCTTCCGTGATGGTGAGTTGTCGTACATTTTTGCTTATTTTTTCTCCCTAGGGTGAACTTTTTCTTTTGCAGTTTTAAAGTGCAAATTTTTATTTTACTAAACTATATTTTTTTTCCCCCTCAAAATTTATTCTCATTGCTAAAGCGAGAGCTTTTCTCTAACAAAAACATAAGTGGTAAAAAAAATTGTATTATCCAAGTATCATTTGTTCATTTTATGGTGGTTTACGTTTACGAATAATTCAATCGATAATGTGCAGATGTTATATTCTTGATATACCTTTATCAAAGATGGATCTACCCGGTGGACAAAAAACGAGTGAATGAATTTGGTTTTGGTGGCGAGGATGAACAGGCCACGACAAGCACGCAGACGCAGGCAATTGAGCAGAGTGAAGAAGAGAAGAAGACTAACTGAGCTCGATGTTATGAGCAAAAGATCGTTGGTCTATTTTAACTCAAAAAACGTAATTTTGTTATGAGATTTTTTTGTTTGTTGTTTTCTTGGTTGATAATTATGCCTATCTACCGCAATCGGTGAATAGAGACCGACCGTTGCCCGGATCACCTCTACGAATGCATTGGTTTTTAAAGGGTTGTTAGATTTTATTGTTTAGTAGTCTTGTGTTGGCCATCTCACTTGGGTAGTCGGGTCACAATGTTGATGTTAGGTTACCTAACAAATATATTTTAATGATCCATATTTATATTATAAAATGTTAATATATATTCATTGGTGATATTTTGTCATGATTAATAAAAAAAAAAAAAAAAATTTACTAAAACAGTGTATTAAAACAAATTACAAAAGTAACTGTAGACATACACAAATAGGAATTGAGGTTTCAAGAAAAAAATAAATAAATAAATAAAATTGTACTTAACAATGAACAAAATAAATGAGACTGCAAGAACTTAGAAAGAAAAGCATGAACAAATGTGAAAGTTTGTTGTCCTATGATGAAAACGTAATTGATTATAACATTATGCACACAATGAACTACTTATATTCCCTACATAAAGGAACAATGTCATTTATACAACTAAAAGAAATGAAAAATTTGCCACAACAAGTTAGTCAGAGCCACCTTTGTGCCTTGAGCTTTGAGTTCTTAGAGATGGGCCTTTTCTCGAGTCTTCGCTTTGAGATCGTAGCCGAATTTAAGTTGTCACCCCACCAATAAGAATCAAGCCACATAACAGCATTTTTGAGAAGTTTCAAAGACTGATGCGGCAAAAACATGATGAGGATAAAATCCTATTTCTTTCAATTGGTGTTGAACTCTAATATAGGTTAATTTGTTGGCATATGATATGGTAAAAACATGATGAGGAGTTTCAAAGACTGATGTCACACAATCCTCATAAGTGTCACGTAAGATTTTTGATCGGCCACGTCAACAAGGATTGGCCGTAAAATGGTTTTGAGAAAAAATTGCAACACATAATAAAAGTTTGATATTTATTTGCAAAGATAAAAAAGATTAAATTTTATTTGCAATTACACAAAAAGTGGAGATTTTATGTGCAATTAAGCCTTTTTGTGTTTTAGGAATGTTGAGTTAATGTACGTGTAAATAAAATTGATTCTCAATTGGACCGCACCAATGAGTTTGGGCCTATATACACCCTAAGCAAGCCCAATTGAAAGCCAAGACAATAACGTACGAAGCACACATCCCTTGTGCGCGGGAATGTGAAAAGACAGGCAGCAAATGATGGCCATTTCTTAATAATAAATGCTCCTTTTCACGCCATTGCTGAATTTGAATGAAACAAAAAACCTACACACACACACGCAGAACAACAATGGTGGGCGCGAGAGGAAGACCAAGGAAGAACACAGAAACACAGGAAAACATAACAGGAAATGTAAACAAATCAGAGTACGAAGAGTCTCGAGCTCAGAGAATCAAAGAAAACGCCGAGAGGATGAAAACCTTCGGCCTTTTCGACCTCTCGAAGAACCTCAAACCTAGTTCATCCACCTCCAAACCACCTCGCAAAGCGAAGCCCGTGCACGCGCCTCCGAACGACCTCATGAGGCGCTACTCCAGAAATACATTTACAATTCAATAGTAATAATAAGAAACTAGTATGAGTCTCGTTTATTGCACATGTAAAAAATATTCATTAATATTTATAAATTAAAAATTTTTATTAAACAATATTTATAAATTAAAGATATAAAATCAATATGTAATATAATTTACCGATCTTAATTTATTGAAAATGTTATATAAAGATTAAATTATGCAAAATTATATAAACTGTCTATTTAAAATTAGTACACAACTCATGCGGTGTATATAACTGATAATAAGTTACATTATATTTGTTTCAAAATAAGTGTCATTTCAAAATTTTATTTGGAAATTAAATTTTACTATAATGTGATTATATTAAATAGTTATTTTTGTAATTTTAATCATATTTAACAACCTATAGGAATAATAAGTATAAATATAATAATTATATTGTTTCTTCGATTAAACTGATTTATATTTGTATAAACTATTCAAATATAAAAAAATTAAGCTATAAGCAGTTGAGTAATTTATTAAATTATAAATATTTGACTATTTCGTTTACATCCAAATTAATATTGACCTGTAAATTATGAACAGTTATATTTTATTTTGAATTTAAATATTTTTTTAATTTTTTAATATATTATATACCAAATTTAAATCATACAACTAATAAAGGTAATAGCTGCAACTTTTGTCAATATATTATATTCCCAATTTAAAGCATGTAACTAATAAATGTAATAGCTGCAATATTTGACCAGATTGATTATGTACATTAATTACATTAAGTTATGCGGTATTTTTCAAATTTTTGGCAAAAAATTTACCCAATTTAGTAATATGATTTTTTAGGCGGGAAACAAAGGATATTTTTACAGATCTTTAGTTCCTATTTCACGTAAATATCATTGGCTCTTTATATACTAATAGATATATGATATTGAAATGCAATTAATACAGTAGTATGCCATAAATAATCAACATATTTATGGATAATCCGGACCTAATTATTTTTACATTAGAAGTAAATTAAAATCTAATAACGAAGCATGTAAACATGCGAAATTTTATTTAGGCTTAGCACTTTATGAATTAATATGTAGGGGGATTATAAGAGTAAGAAAATTAGAAATTTATTTGAATACAAGCATTTTTTTTTCAAATTTTTGTATGATTTTAAACTATTAAATGAACTGAGTAGTTTTGCTCAACTCGATTCGTATATTAAATGAATCGAACTTGAGTTTGTTTAAAGCTCGTTTAGCTAACAACCTTGCTCCATTAAAACTTGAGCACGAATTGCATGGCTAGACACATTTATGCTTCTACATCATCATCAACATCAACATACCCAGTATATTCCCAACAGGTTGGGGTTTGAGGGGGTCAGTTGTATGCAGACCTTACCCTTGTATAATTACAAGGAGGCTGTTTCCATAGCGACCCAAAGTGCGTTGCGTCGTTTGATATATTTTTTTCTAGAAACTTCACTAACAGAAGAAGCACTAGAATTTAATTGAGTCATTTTGATCTAGTCCATTATTAGCACTATGCCAGGAGAATTGTCATAAATGACTCTTCCAGCTCTATATGCAATGGAGCTTGTTTTAATTAATTTGCGTTCAACATGGTTGTTGGAGCTAGTCCATTTATGCTTCTACATGGTTGTTTAAATTGATTTGCGTTCAATTACAACTAGTGTGGTACCCGTGCGCATCGTACGAGCTAGTTTTAGTAAGATACGCGTTTATACTTATATGATTGGATGTTTGGAAGAACTTCCTTGATTCATCGGCCTTCATTACAATCCCACATATGTGTGAAGAAAAATATAAATGTAATTCTAATAATAGAGTGGAGTTCATAGGATTTTTCTTCTTTTTTTTTTTTCTCATATGTTACAATATATACATACCAAAATTTTCATTTGCATGATATCATTGATGTTGTTGGACTTGGTGAAGTTATAGGAGATATTGTGTCCTATATCTCCAGCGGCAAGATTTATATATTATTTGAACACATTATTGTACACAACATTATTTTTTTGGTCTTTTGGTACATTATATATTGCCACAAATTATTAGGACTCTAGAAAGACTTAAATAAATTAATTAAATTATTTAGCAGGATATATATGATATTTTGTAAGTGTGTGCAATCATTATTTATTTTGTAAGTGTGCAATCAATTCTATATTTGTATTATAGATGATTAAAATAAAAAACTTAAATTTTTAGGATGTTCCAATCCGATTTCATTTTGAATTTCAAATTAATATTATCTGACTTTACTTTATGTTTAAAAAAATCCGAACTAAAGAAAGTAGTAACCAAATGATAAAGGATTTTAAAAAAAAAAAAAAAATGGTCCAATTTCTATGCAATCTAATTTTTTTTTTATTTAATAAATATGACTTGTTGCAATTCGGTAAAGATACATGTTAGTATTTTTGCTTAATTTGAAATTCTCATTTTTATGGTAAACATATTTTTAATAGCATAACCAACCCCTTGTTATAAATACATTCATCACAATATGACTAATATTTACACGATATAGAAAAATTGTATGCTTTAATTAATATATAAATGGGTGAAAAAAATAAAATTACAATTATTAATCATTAATGACGGTAATGCAATCCAATGAATTTGCATATATCATCCTTATATATAATTTCTGAATGTGCTGACCCTAAGTGGCAGACTATGTGTCAAAAAATTCAAAATTCTATGCTTTATTATTTGGCTTTGATAGATTTTAATTTAATTCTAATCTAAAAATAATTAAGTTCGGATTACCATAACTATGTTGATTTATTTATGATCATTTTAGATGTATTAATTGTATTTTAATATTATTTCTTATTATAATAATTGAATTGCAAATGTATTTTAAAAGTTGTAACTTTTGTATTTCTTATTGATTTTACATATATAATATATTAAATTAATCATCTTTTGATGAGTTTCGATTTGACATCCATATTATATATATAAAACAAATAAATTAAATTTATCTTTATAGTAATAAAAAAATATTTATTGAAGTTTATTAGAAAAATAAAATTATTTCTCAATTAATATATTCAAGTTTAATGTAATTATATGCTATAGGTTAGAAAAATTATTATAACACAGATTATAAGTCGCACAAATAACAAGTGTCATACTAAAATATATAATTAATATATAGTTTTTTTATAAAAAAATAATTTTAATTTTCTACTATTTTTTTCTCATTGATTTTAATTTGAAGAAAAAGTTTTAGAAAACACCGGTGTAATACACATGCGTTGTACTAGTTGTTTCTAAAAAGGATCAGTAAGAAAATAAAATCTCAAACGAAATTCATAATCTTCATAGGACGAACAAATAACATATTATGTATTATCTACTCATATAATTTATATAGTTCATCGTAATAACGCGTTTGTGTGCTTTGCACGTGCTACATAATGGTTAACAAATATGACTTATAACATTTTAACATTTTGTCTATATTTACGTGCATTTATGCACATAGTAATGTTCACCTACCACGCTAGATACATGTTAATATGTTCACCGCTTATGACATGCGCACATTGATGATGTATTTTTTTAACATATTAACATCAACAATGTGTGCATGTCATATAAGCAGTTGGCATATTAACATGTGTTTATCGTTGGTAGGAGAACATTATCTTTTATGCACGTCGTCAAGTATTAGTTGTATTATAATTTACAGAATACATAAATAAATGATACATTAATATTCATTTATCCCTCAGGCCAAAAAATAAAATACAAAATAAAAAAAAAAAGGCAATTGGCACAAAAATTGGCAGGGCTAGGATCACATTCTACCTAATTGTAGCCCGCAACATGTTTGTCAAGTAAAGGTCTTATTTTCTTTTTT